TCGTTCTCGCACAGCGCGTTGGAAAACCGCAGAAGACGCAGATGCCAGGACTTGAAGTCGGTTTCCGCCAGCGGAGTTGGCTCGTCTGCATTCACGTTCAGCTCATCGGCCTCGTCGCCCACCTCTGAAGCTGGCGAATCGCATCCCAAACTGACAGAATCCTCGCCATCACAGGTCTAGAAGCCAGGCAAAGAACGTATTCCATAATAAATTTAAACATTACTGATATCAAATAAGTACAACAAACAGAATAAATAAATTAACGAAAATAACAAGTCAGCCGTCGGGCAGACCTCCATAAAACGACAGTTCTCCACCAAGGTGCTAAAGTGAGAGGGTAATAGTCCCTAATATTTAGCCAACCGTTTTCAGAACGACATTTTCAAAATGTATCGATAGTGAGGAAGAGGTAGCAATCCCTGGAACAGCCTGACGGAGGCGAAGCCACGACTACCGAATAGTGCTTGAAAAATGTGCGCATTCAGCTCATGCTATCGCCGATTAGCAAATGCCCGAGAAAAAAACAAACTGTCCGACTGAAAATAGGTCGATGGTTCAGAAATTATGTTTAGTCATCAGTTGAAGCCGGCACATCTGAGTTAAAAAAATTAGGCACATACAGAGGAGAAGGGTTATACCGAAAATTTCTGTTTTTCGAGTAGAGCGGCTACGAATAAATTTTCAGGGATCACGGCAGGCAACCAGCCGCCAGACCGTAGCAATAAACTCGTATGCGAAACAAAGAAGGCGGGTGCTGGACTATGCCCATGTCGGGAAATGGAATTTGTGGAGTGGCCAGGAAGTGATTAGGCTGTGTTTGTCTACGTTGACACGTTTATGAAATCATTAACAATTGCTCATGGTGGTTATGCTATTGAATAATAAATATACAAACCCTTTTAATACGGCAGCTTTTCCAGTTTGGAATTTCGATTAATATTGCAGCACATAGCAAAGATGCACGGTGAAGTCAGGGGACAGAAGTCTACCAACTTACCGGAGCCAGAGACGCCACGCTGGAGCCCACC